TTTCTCTCTCAGCCTTAGACTGCTGGTTAAATGCAATATAAAAACCACAAATGAAATTACAGCAGTTTATAGATGTTTCAGCCGAAAAACCCGCCTAAGTGCAAATTTTCATGCGTAACTTTTTTTTTTTTTTTTACTGCTGGGAGCCTTTCTTGTGCCTAAGTCTGTAGTACATAAAGCAAGCAGCAGGTTTTTGGTTATTTGCTCCTCTAGATTCCATTTATATATCAGTAGGGTCCACACGAAGCCCTGATGAGATTTGGTGGCAACATTATGAAAAATTCAGAAACTCCAAAAGGGACAAACATTTATTGAAAGAATTAGATATAGTTTAAAGGCAAATGCAAAACCTCATCTACAGACTTAGGCACAAGAAAGGCTCCCAGCAGTAAAAAAAAAAAAAAAAGTTACGCATGAACATTGTCATATATGCTGCTTCTTCGGCTGAAACATCTATAAACTGCTGTAATTTCATTTGTGGTTTTTATATTGCATTTAACCAGCAGTCTAAGGCTGAGAGAGAAAGTTATTGCTTTCTCTCCTAAAGTGCTTTGCTTCATATCTATCTTTTATTATTGGTGTTGTGTTTAATGTGCATGTAATGTTGTCTCTTCTGATACAGCTACGGCTCCTCTCTTCGAAACGGAGTGTGCATATGCAGAGGCTACACTTGATGATTTTCTGGCCTGGAGCAGAAGACAGCAGCCTTGTCCTTCTGGACCATTCAGTAGTTATGATTTGTGTAAATACTGGATGTATGCTGACTATAAGTATATCAATAGGCTATTTGAAGACAAGCCAGAACATTTTCAGGTACATTTATTTTCCTTTGTCCTTTATTTATCTCATCAAAATGATGGGGCGATTCAGGAAATCCTAATTATTATAGAACTTTTTTTTCTGCTGTACTGAAAAAATAGTGTGCTGTGGAGCACTGTACAGTACATACAGTATGAGCTTTACCAGTTCTGTTATCATAGAATCACAGAGTTAACAAAATTCATATAGGCCGCAGTCTAATTTTCTGCTTGAATATGAAATTTGAAGGCAATACTTCCCCAGTAAATGGCTATCTATTCTTGGCTTGGGCATCTTCATTTGGAAGAGCTGCCATCTTTCTGAAGAATGTATTTTATTGTCAAACTTCTTACCAAAATTCTTACCCTCAAGAATTCCTTCTGGTTTCCACATTTCTGAAATTCTAGACAATATCCTTCTGTAACTTAATCGCATTAGATCTAGCCTACCTTCTGTTACCTTCTGCAGAAAACCTTTCAAGGATCTTGAAAAGGACTATAACATCCAACCAGTGTCCTCCTGCTGGACACACTCACTTCCTTTATACATTCCTAAAAGCACTTGTCTTCCCTAATCATTAATAATCATTCCTTTCTTCTGAATTCAGTTCAGTTAGCTATAATGGTCTTCATACAGTATTGCTTCCAGAATTGAATGCAGTGTCAAAATAGTCCTGTGAAGATTATTAGGCAGAAAGGCAATAATTAAGTCAAGGTCATTCAGTGACCTTCTTTACCTGATTTTGACCAGCTCTTCCATCCTGACTATGAATTAATCACTATATATTTAAATGTCACAAACATATGCTTTGTATACTTACAGTACCCTTTAAATATGTTTACCTAATAGCAATAGCAGTTAGACTTATATACTGCTTCATAGGGCTTTCAGCCCTCTCTAAGCGGTTTACAGAGCCAGCACATTGCCCCCACAGTCTGGATCCTCATTTCACCCACCTCGGAAGGATGNGATAAACATCCTAAAGATTATCACAGTGGTTCTCACCTGTGGTCCATGGACCCCTAGGGGGGTGCAATGTCATCACAGGGGGCCTTGAAAACCTGAAGAAATGTTATGATTTAAATATTCAGATACATCGGGGGGGGGTCCATGTCCACAAAAGGTATTTAAATCCATGGGTGAAGAAAAACTAGAGAACTACTGCATTATCAAAGAAAGAGTTTGTTAATGTCTCAATGTCCCCAAGAATTAAATACACTATACTATCATCTACATCTATATAGCCTTACTTTTCTTTAAAAATATATTATTGGGAGTAAAGCTCTTTCCTAAATGAACAATGAAATCTATTTTGTGGAGTAAAATGGCAAAAAAGTAGTGGTACTTAATACTTTTATGGGGGAATGATTACTTTTTTAGTGGTAACCTACTGAATTTTCATCTAAACAGTGTAGGAAAAAAACATTAAAAATGTTTATTTGGAACATCATAGGCTGACTCCCAGACTATATATGCACAACATTTTCTTCTCTCTTATGAATCCTGTCTAGGAGAAAAGACGGAAGAATACCTGGCTATTTATTTTCAGTGAGAATTTCAGTCCCCAAAAGCTCAAATACTGACTGGTTTGAAAGCCTACAGATTCAACACCTGTTAAAAGCCAGCCATACTAAATGTCTCCCCTTGTGAGCTGAACAAAACAGTTTTTGCTGATGAATATAGGAAAGAGAAATGTTTCTGGGGAATATTTGAGGAACCTGCTGCTTGTAATCCAAAGTGAACTCTAGACCCTTGGTTTAAAAAATGCCATTGTATAAAACAAATGCATTAATTCATTCATATGAGGTTAAGTCACGATGGCTCCGCTGATCCTCCAGCTTTTTATTTCATTTCCCTTTCTCAAAAAAATGCAACAGGCAGTCTGAGTGTGAAAGATATCTAATTCTGGCATTATATAAATGCAAGAAATAAAAATGTAATTCAGTCCTTCTGATATGCCAGCAAGGCTCAAAAGGTTCTGGCTTATAATCCTGGAAGACAGCTGTTAATCCATGCCAACAACACCAGCCAAGATGGATCAGAGATTGACTTAGTAGAAGGCAACAACCTTGTGTTTCTATGGACTAAGACCTAAGCTTCTTGGCTGGAAAGGAAACATTTCAGGGATTTTAACAGAGGCCCATATCCAAAGAGCCTCACAACTAGGAAATCAGCATCTTCGAATGGTAAATGAAGAGAATTTCGAAAGCAATTGAAAACAAGGCATAGACTCTAGGGCAGGAGGGAATTCTACCGGTTCGGACTGATTCGGGTGACTATTGGATGGGGGTGAACTGGTTCACTCCAACTTTCAGCTGGGCCTGCCTGCCCGTCCCTGCACTATACTCACCTATATTCCCTTTTCTGAAGCCCAGCTGATTGGTGCAGCAGTGGATTGCCATGCCTCAGCTGTTTTCCTCCAAAGCAGTAATGCAGAAGTAATTTCATTTCATTTCATTTCATTTTACTTTATTTGTATGCTGCCCTTTTCCCTGAAAGGGACTCAGGGCAGCTCACAACTCAAGGGAGGGGAAAAACAGACAGAGTTACAAAACATAAAGACCATACAGGGCGGGGCATAACCTTTTCCTAGGGGGTCACAGCAACACTTGTAATAACAACACAAATAATTCATACACCATTCGAAAGCCCATCAAAAACTGAATTGAATGAGCTATTAAATGTTAAATTTGCTTTAAGAATGGCTGGAAA